CCAACAAGCCAAGTCTTTGTGTTCAGAAGAAATTTGTAACTCCCTTATCTCTCCCTTGGCCTTAATTAATAAATGAATTTATTTATTATTCCTTTTCTAACTTTCTCTTCGTTTATTATTTTTCTTCACACCCTCCTACCACTTTATTTTCTCTCAACTATACGTTTCATGGTCCAATTATCTGAACATTTCTTATTACGTCATCTTATAATTTTATAATTGTTATCTCAGTTTCTATATTTTTCTAATCATTGACCTATTTCAGATTATGTAACATTGATTTGAACCTTTATTATTATTGCTTATCAAAACTAATGCACCTGTTGTCACACCATCAATTTGTACTTTTCACATCTTACTTATTATGTAATCTTTTCCATTGTTATCATTGACTTATAAACTACTTTGATTGGTTTAATAATTTCGTATATGCATATAAATATTACTGTATATTAGAGTAAAGCCTGATGAGGATCTAATCGAAAACAATATTGTTCGCTTATATATGTTGTTCTAAATTTACAATATGGGAATATTTCAGATTACAGAATAGTTTAGGAAACGAATATAGCGTTCAATCTGCAAGACATATCAGATCGATCGATTCTGAGCCATGTCACACACAGTCTCTAACCATTGGTTACGATAGTCACACGGATCCCAATCAAGTAGTCTATATTGTTCTATGATTATTTGATTGGTCATTTAATATTCATCTAAATAGTTTACTTGTTCATTCACATAAAAAATCATTATTTATTATAATAATACCATGTCTATTATTAATGCTTATCTGTTTCTCTTTATGTATAGTTAATCCCATCAAAAAAGGAACCATCTTGTTGATCTGTAGTAAGAAAACAAAAGAAAAATGATATTTTTTTTGAAGAGAAGAATAAAAAATGTTCACTTGGATTGCTTTACTATTGAACATTTAATGCCAGAATGTCTTTCATTATTCAATGTTAGAAATAGACTATTATTATTATTATAAATATTTAACAATCTTTATACTTATATATTCAACCTTCAATACCTTTTTTATCCTAACGGTTTACTGTCTATTTATTTTCGATCTTACATCAATGATAAAATTTCAATTGCAATATCAATGTGAATGGTGTAGGTTATTGTAAACAAAAACAACAAAAAAACAATTAAAGTTTTATTCCATTTGTATTTGTATTTTAACACATAGATAATGGTACAAGGAGGCACCAAATACATATGCGCCATACAGATCTCATTTGATGTGTGAGGGCTGTGATACTGACCGGGTGCCCAAAACGAAGCAAGTGGCATTTTAGGGGACCACAACCGGAGCCTTCGAACTGAAGGTCTGATCCACAAGGCAGTGGAGCATCGTAAGGAGATGCAGTCCAATGGCAGCCGCTGTCCAATAACTGGTTTATACGCCATTTGTTCCATCAGGATACTGGAGCTCATGTGCACCATTGGTTTGGGATCAAGGTTTTCCAACCTCCCCTAAGTAGACTCTCCATTTCCACCAAGACGGCTAAAGCGCCGGACATTCGCTTTACGTTCTCTCAATTTCGTAAACACCCCTGCCACGAGAAGGCAATGAGTAGGACTTCCCTGGTAGAGGTTATATGTGCGTGGTCATGTGAGAGCATTTCGAGAGCGGACTCTCCACTCTTGGCCGTACCAGGGCATTTATAGTTTAAATGACATGAAATTTGTCTTTTTGGAAGATATATTCTACCCCTCCCCATCCCAGTTACATTATCCTAAACATTTATTGATTGGTATTGACTTAAGGGATATATATATATACTTTCCGTTTGAAATAGTTAACAGAAAGTCAATTATTAATACTATACAATGTGTATCAACTTAAACTGTTACAGTTTATACATATTTGCTATTCTCTTTATTGCCTATGATTCAATAACTGACTGACTTGAAATAATTAATCAATGTAAATCACTGAAAATAATTAAATCTTAAAGAATTACAGAGTATAAAAATTATTTAATGAGTAGAAAATAAATTCTATTACAAGTAAAGCGAATGAACATTTAAACAGGCATATAAAGCAAATGGACCAAGTTTTTCATTACAGTATATAATTAATTATTAAAATAAGGATTTTAATGTAACAAAAAACAGTATGCAGAAAAGATGATAATTAGATTGGTACGATTGATAGTTACCGAATGCGCTGATTCGGCGAAATGTGGGGAGTTCCCTTTTGGAAATGCTCTCATATGGATACGTGTATATTGCCACTACCACTGAAGTCCTACGAACTGCATTCGAGCGGTCGGATTGTTTGCGAAATTGAGAGGACAAAAAGTGAATGTCCTGCGCCTAGACCAGGTGACTTAGGGAGATGGATTATGAATACAGCGGTTTGTTAGAGGTATGAAAGCAGTTGTCGATTCCTGATTGCTCAGGCCGTGGAAGGATTCTTCTGGAGGTACCTGAAAAGGAAATTGGGTTAGAGGTGATCTTAGTGACTTAAGAGCGTGATCGCAATGCCCAAGGGACGACGTTTTTGTGAGCTCCGTACTTGTTGAAACCTTGCCGCCGGAGACGGATGTCCGTGGGACAAGGCGTGCATCTATAGGGTCAAACATTTCTAATCCCACCCCTAATTGTGGGAATGCAGCATAACTGTCATGCTGGTTATCTGAATGAAACACTTTACTGCCGTTGCACCTCTGTACAGTCAGCAGTAGGACTTCGCCCTCGGACCTTGGGTTTGCTTCTTTTAGTCTAACCACTCTTCAACCGACCTGTCTGGCATGGTAGGACCTTGAGGAACGATTGTTCCAGCCACTATATCTCGACTGGTTCCTTACGACAGGCAAGCCTGAACACCACGTCAAGGTAGCAGCAGCTGGCTGGATCGGGATGGTGGATATAGAGGATCCACTTAAAGGAGTTGGAAAACCCTGATTCCAAACCAACAGCGCACATGAGCTCGGCGACCCTGAGGGAAAAAATAATTTGTAAACTCATTGTCGGTCACCAGCTACCATGGGACTGCATCTCGTAACGTTGCGCCACCATTTTGTGGATTAGACCTCTAGGTTAAAGACTCGTAGAGTGTACCCCTAAGGAAACCACCTGCTTGGGGAAGTCAGCGTCTTCGTTCATAATCATCTTTAACCATCGATAACGTGTACTGAACAATGAGGAGTTATCTCTAAGCTGTTGGCTTAATGACAACAATGTCAGAAAATGAGCGATCATGTGTATTCAGAGGCAAAATCAAATTGTCGTACCTACCTAACTCACTTTGACCGAATTTCCGAAGTAGAAAGAGAACCTTCCAAACATGATCTTGATTGGTAAAATGGAGTTTAAATAGATCCTCGTAACCCCGGAACCACATGTGAAAAGTGACGTTAGCACAGGTATGGTAGTGAAATTCAGCAATACTGTGGTGCCATCATTTGAGGGTGCGGTAGTAGGATTAAATGTGCTATTAGCATTCGAGTAATGAATACTTTGTTTAGTGCATTTAATTTTCGTGACTATTTGTATCAATATTTAAATGGCAAATAAGCGCGATTGATTTTGTTTGGTTCGCATTTATAAATCAAACAGCTGTTTTACCGAGAACATTTTTGTACATTACGCTTGTTACTGTTGGGGTCACCGATTGCTCGAACATGGTGGAGCGAATTTGAAAGCAATGTTAGGGTTATGCATTAGGTAATAGGCAAATCAGTTGAAGTCGTGGTTCTTTATTGACTTAGATGTTCTGACCACGTGTTACGTATACCTAACTAAATAAAAGATACTTGCTGGTACAGAAACTAATTAAAAAACTCAATGTGGACAACACAGAACATGGCATTAGTCCATGAATAATGCGGACCCGAGCGTCGTACATAGATGTAGACTAATTGGTTAAAAGGACGGTAGGTAACAGCTCTTTTGACAGAGCCTATTCTTTTCTTGTTACTTGAGTGCAATTGAAACAATACTAAAGTTTCCTCAATTTTATCTATTCTTGAATTAGACCGTTCCATTATTGATAATGTTTCTGACATATTTCTCTTAGCATGAAACGTGATACAAATTGATAAACAGTCTTCTTATTCATTAATGCTATTTGATTGAAGAGTTCTAAACATTCAAGGTATTCGTTTTTCTGCATGAAAACTGATACTCGTTTTCTACTGAATACATAAAATAAACTTTCGTTTAATTCAACCGTTTCGATTTAGCTTCTTAAAGAGTTATTGAAGAAGTGATGGAAATTTCGACTATTATCCCCATTGTGCAGTAGGAATTGTACACTATTCCAATATAAGTACATATACTTAATTAGTGTGCTCAATTACATTACTTACTTACGCCTGTTATTCCTATCGGGTCATAGGCCACTGATCAGCATTCTCCAACCCACTCTGTCCTGGGCCTTCTTTTCTAGTTCCATCCAATTCTTGTTCATTCTCCTCATGTCTATCTCCATTTCCTGGCGTAATTTATTCTTTGGTCTTCCTTTTTTCCTTTGACCTTGAGGATTCCATGTGAGGGCTTGTCTTGTGACGCAGTCGGGTGCTTTTCTCAATGTGTTTCCTATTCACTTCCAGTGTTTCTTTCTCCGCTGGGATGTGGTTTGTTCTCTCCCACAGTACGTTGTTGCTAATAGTGTCCGGCCAACGGATCTGAAGTATTTTGCGTAGACAACTGTTAATAAACACCTGTATCTTCTGGATGATGGCTTTCGTAGTTCTCCAGGTTTCCGCCTCATACAGTAGAACTGTGTTGACATTTGTATTGAAAATCCTGACCTTGGTATTGGTTGACAGTTGTTTTGAGTTCTGACAACCAGAGAAATCATTTATTTAAGTACATTTAATACTCGTACAATGTGGGAGACCGAGAGTCTGATGAGATACAACCTAGAGGTGCTTGGGATCAGTGGAGGACGTTGGACAACAACGACTAGCGTCAGGGGAGCTCAATTACATAACTCTCTTTAAATGGAATACAATACGAATTTAATCGACAAACAACTATTAGATGTTATTGAAAAATATATTTTACAAAATGTATGGGTATTGTATACTAATCCATCTGTGTATACTATTTTATCTACAGGAAAAAATAATAAAAAGTAGGATTGTTCTTTCTGTTTTTCAAAGTCATAGATAATAAGATATAAAGAAAAATACTCTATTGGACATCTATCTTTCTATGAAATATTTATGTTCTCTTTTCTTAGTCAACTTTACGATTTGGTCCACTTTGATCCCAATACACTTTTGAACGCATTTCACGTAATCTGGATAATGTTCTAGAATAAGCAAATAAATCTTCATCACCTGTGAATATTGATGCTTTCATATTAGTTGGATGATCCTGGAATTGTCAGAAAGAAATTGCATTAAAAACAATGATAAAACATAAAAAAACATTACGATGATAGTTTAAAATAGACATAATCATCTTGTTTGCAACTCCACATTCATAAACCAATAAATTTTGGAACACCAATTCAATTCAAGGTGTATTAAGTAAAGAATATGAACTACTGCGATTGATTTTGAGCGATGTCAACTGTATTTATTTAAATACATAAATATTGGTACAAGAAGGAACCGAATACATATGCGTCACACAAATCATTCGATTTGTATGAGGGCTCGGATGATGCTCGGGCGCCCAAACTGAAGCGAGTGGTTTTCTTATGGGTCACTGTCCGATCCTTTGACCTATCGATCTATCCCACAAGGCAGTGGGGCAACATCAGGGGAAACAGTCCCATGGCAGCCGATGACCAACAATAGGTTCATACGCCTTTTGTTCACTCAGGATCCTGGAGCTCATATGCACCATTGGTTTGGAATAATGATTTTCCAACTGTCATAGGTAGATCCTCTATTCAAAAGCCCAGTTAAAGTGCCAGATACTCAGTTTTCGTCCTCTCAATTTTGTAAACAACAACCCTCTGCGAGAAGGCAGTGAGTAGGACTTCCTTGGTAGTGACTGCATACATGTGGTTATGTGAGAGCTGACTCTCCTTACCCTCGACCGTATCAGGGCATTTGGGAGCCTGTACAGTTGTACGAATCGCAATCATAGTTTGCCCATTTTCTTAAACTAACATTATACGAGCTTATCGACTGATACATGTTTTAGACCCGTGATCTGACTTTAATATGATAGAACCGCTAATGCTGAAGACAAAATATAAATCCTACTTACGTTATATATGTCTTATCGATAAATCCCGTTAATAACAACGCGGAGTCAAATATGTGTGTTTCAAACACTTAGATTTCATGCACTCATTACGATAGACAGACGGGGAGATGTCCCTACTCAAACTTTTACACATTACAAGCGTTAATATAACTCAAAATAGATAATACATACATGACAAGAAGACAAGATAAGTGTTGGACAGAATAAATGTACAGGCACACATACAAGCACACGCGAGAAGTATAAGCGTGTAAATATAATAACGTAAAAATACTAGATATTACAATTTCCTATAACAAGAGTAGAACTACTAGGATGGTAGAGAAGACTCAATGGTCACAAGCTGTTTGAATCTATTGAAAAGTCAGAATCAATTATGTAGGTGTATAATTAATACAAAAACGGCTACGTTCCAGTAATCCTTTAAATGCTAGTGTAACCATTGAAAAAACAACACATCCAGTACTTAGGTATGTGTAGAACATCATCATATGAACTAAAAAAAACGAAAATCAGCTAAAATTTTGGAATGTGAATGAATAAAAGCGTTTACAATTTTGATGGAGTTTTGTTCTTCTGAATTTCTCTACCTGAAGTTTATGCTGATGATATCATTCACAATAACGATGAACGCTCCACAACCAAACCATCCAGCTCAGAGAATAAAACTCCATCAAAATCATCCATTTGAACAACAAATCTTCACCCTCCCTCTCAGCGTTTAAAATCGAAGTACATATAAATTGTGTTCAAAAAGGATGGATTAATATTCACTTAAACTTATAACGTTGCCATTATATAACCATACAACTACTACTCTATCATAAAACTTACCATATTCATCTTTAAATCATCCATTAATTGACGATGATGAAATTGTAATTCAATAGAAGATGTATCATTTTTAGATAATAATAATAAATTTTCAAGTGAACAATTAGCACCAATAATAAGACGAGTATGTGTATCATATAGAACATCAATTAAATGTGTAAAACGTTTCAAACTTGGTAAATTATGCATTCCCATTTGTGGTACATCACATAAAATAATTGTATGAAAACGTTTAGCTAAACTCATATAATCAGCGGCACCTAAAGGCTTTTTTTATGAATAGAAATAAGAAAAAAATATGATAATATCAAATGTATGTATAGATAAGTTTTTCAGTATGGGTGTGTTATAATTCTCGCTTCATATAACCCGGCTATTCCTATTGCTTAGTAATCTTGGACACTAATTTACTCGACAAGTCCCCAAATCAGAACACGGTTGAACAGGGAAAGACATTATATTCCAAATAACAAGGTTAAATGGAAGTATGAAGCACAATAAGAAAAACGTTAGTATATTTATAGTTTTTTTTTACATGAGAAGATTCTATAGTGTTTGCCAAATGTCGGCTAGCGCTGATTTGTTAATAATTAGTCAATCAGCGTGCACCATTGCAATCGTGCATGGAGAATGATTTAATCCAATCTATGTTCAGCTAACAGGGGGGGGGGCGAATTATAGATAATCTATTATTTTCACAGTTGAATTCATTACATGTTAATCTAAGAAGTCCCATATTAGGACGAAATGGCTGTCTAATGCTTCCAAGTGTTCACCACCAGTGGTTTTAGCTTAGATTGACTCATGAATTAAACAGTATTGAAATTAACTCTCTTGTTTAGCACTTATTACATAATGAAAATTCCCATTTTGATATTTAGTTAAAAGAACAATTAAAGCGAAGAAACTTTTTTTCAATTAATTCTTCTTTTTTTATTATATGACTACAGTTCACAAACAGACCCTTTTCATTTAAAATAAGCTTGTACAACTGTTGGGGACGCAAGGTCCAAAAAAAAAAAACTTGGAGAAGGATCTAATTTTGTAGTTTTAGTGAGACAATTTCGAATTTCTTTGTTTTTGAGCCAAAGGCGTTCTTGTCACCTTCATGTCGTATTTCCCACTAGGAAATATCTTAAATGCTATTGGCTCGTGGCGTCTTTTAGTATGCTATTTGGTAACTCTCCACAAGGACGGTTTTGCACTGTATATATACGTTTTGAATCGTGTTTGTTGTTATCGCTCGTTTCTGACTGTTTTGCAGAATATACTTCCCATTCCAAGCTTAGACTTCTCTCTCTAGTTAGCGGGGTTGGGACGCATCAAAAAGCTAGCTTACTGGTCTTCGGTCACTGGGCTTTTGTTCTCGTTCTCAGATTAAATGAACTCGTGATAGTTTCAAACCTAGCAACAACCATTCTCATTTGCACAGGAATATTTTTAGCTGGATTTTGATTAATCCCTTTACTTCAAAAATGCTAAAACAATTTTCTATTTTAAATTCACTTGTTATTCTTTACTTGAATTTTCCGAATAATGTTTAGGACTGCAATTGATTAGTCTCTTATTGGTATATGTGCATACTGTGCGACGTATTGCCTGGATACTGTCTTAATTCATAAGCATGATAAGCAAAGATGGATAATGGCTAGCAGTGGAATCCAAGAAGCGAGTCTCAGAGTGAATATCAACTGTAAGATGCAGTTACATCCAACTGACGAGCCCCAAATAGGACGAAACGCGCATCCTGGATTCGACGGCTAGTCATTATCCATCTTTGCTTATAATTTTCTAATTTGTTCCACTTTTGTAATTTCACATATTCTCAATATTCGTCTCTTGATTCTTACATAACTAATATAATACTGAACTTTCATGAAAATATTTCGTTAGTTCTTTTTATTGATTATACAACGTTAGAAAATGTTTATATGATATGAATATATAGCTTTCCATCATGTAATTGAATTTTTCAGTGTGTTCTGCAATCAAAACAACCTTCGCTTTCACTCTCCAAGTGTTCTGCCTACGCCGTGCTTTTAAAAAACTGAAGCTCTTCTCTCTGTCTGAAAACTGTAACAATTTCGACATCATGTCCCGCTAAATACTAATTACAAGCCATCTTATTGTTAGTATACTTCTTTGTATATTTTTTCTGTGCGCTAATATTTTTTTGCAAGATTATTTTTTGTTATTAGGATCTTCGAAATATATTCCATTAGCTTCCAAGTGTGATTTGGGACCAGATGAGTTAAGTAACGCGTCTACATATTACAAAGCAGTAGGACAGGGAGTTGTTGTGGCTTACGAGATAATACGTACGACTTTCAGTTATTTAGTCGGATGTCTGAACTTTTCTGCAACTACATTCGGTATGGTATCATATATAGTGTGTAAATCGAAACCAACTACACGGATCTATATCAAATGAATGAATGGAATACACAAGTTTTCTTTTGAGTGTACTATTTCAAAGAAAAATATCTCAATTGATTCACCAAGTTAGCGAACATATTTTTAAAAAATCGATTCTAGTCTGATGGACGATTTCCTTATTTGGTGAAATAAAACAATATCGCTCAACATATGGGAAAAAAATTCTCATCACCTTACCACATTGCACAATTCAGCAAATTTACATTTTAAAATATTTCCACCAGCTTGCTTAAAGGTAACTACACGCCCATATGTTGAAATCGCTCCAACTATTGGTGGTCCAACTAGTTAGAAGAAAAAAATTGTTCAAAATAGAAACTAAAAAAGAACAATATTATAAAATTAACTAAAGATATTTTTAATTTCAATATAGTTTTAGTCAAAGATTGAAGAATTAGTAAGTATGCAATTAGTCCCATGTTAGTTTAAGACCCGAAATATGGCCGAAAGTAGAGAGAGTCAGCCCTCCCTCTCGATGCTCTCACATGGCCACTGTCAGGGAAGTCCTACTCACTACCTTCTTGTGGCATTACTGTCGTTTACAAGATTGAGAGGATGAAAAGACTAAACTGGGTTGGTGGACACAGAAAGTTTATCTAGGGAAGCTGGAATACCTTAATTCCAAACCAATTTTAAACATGGGTTCCAGGATCCTGAATGAACGAATGACATATGAACCTATTGTTGGTCACCGACTACATGGGACTGTATCTCCTGACATTGCTCCATTGCCTTGTAGATCAGACCTTTAGGTCGAAGGCTCCAGGTTTGACCCCCCTAAGAAAACCACGTGTTTCGATTTGGGCACCCGGGCAGTATCCTAGCCATCACATCAATCGAATGATTTATGTGGCGCATATCTATACCAATGTTTATGTGTTTAAATAAAATAAATAAATTTCTTTAACAATAAACATTCAAAATTCAGTACAGAATTAAATTTACAAATAGTCAATGCTATTTAAGAATTCTACAAATTATATAAAAATTTCAAACAATTATCTTCATAAAGATTTGATATTTATACATTGTTGGTCAAACTTAATCTTTTTGACAGTATAGGGGTTGTGAAGGTTATTAAGTTTTTGATTGAGATCATGAACTGATTGACATAAGACCACAGTTGGAAATCTGGAAACACTAGATGGCCGCCTCGTCCTATCGTAAGACTCCTCAGTAGTGCACATCCACGATGCCGCTTGCGGGATTCGAACCCAGGGCCTTCAGTGTCATGAGCGAACGCTTAACTTAATGGGACCAACTGAGCCATTTGATATTCATACATTGTTGGTTAAACTTAATCTTTTTGACTGAATAGCTTAATGAATAAATACTAGAATGTTTGGGTCACTATCTGTGTGATAGGTGATATGTTTTTTCTATCAACTAACAAACGAATATAATACATAACAATTTGCTCTGTTTTACTTTACATATGTAAAAACTGAATTTTAAGAAAACAGAACATATGTATATCATTAGTATTTTATCATAGTTATCTTAAAAATATTGTGCCTATAGGTTGAAACCACCGAATAATAATTTCTTTGACAGCCTATTGGATATCTGAACTATATGTTCTTGTTATCTAGTTATCTCGTTTTTCTTTGTTTTAACACACCCTGATGTCTATTAACCGCACAACCTATTCAGGTGTGTTTATGAAAAGTTTACGACATTTCGCCGTACAAGTTACAAATAAGCCGAATCAGAGACAGTATGGTTGCTGGCAATGTGCAACGAAAAGAATGAACATTATTTAGATGTCGACTCCTGAACTGCCAATATCTAACTGTCAATCACTCAATTGTTATCGTCAGGATCGATCAAGAAATAAGAAACTTGTTGAGATACTTTTTGCTGAGAATTCTATATTGTACCAAAAAATATCATGTTGAATAAAGCAATTAATAATAATAATAATAATAATAATAATAATAATAATAATAATAATAATAATAATAATAATAATAATAATAATAATAAAATCAAGGATAATGTAAGGCTTAATAATTTTTATGATCTTAAAAAAATTGCATAGTCTCTTTTTTCCTGTTTGATTTTGTAGAAAATTATGGAAACAGATCAATACTGAAAATGTGGTGTGTACTACTGATGTCGATAAATATAAGTAGTACATATCATCAATCGAAATTGAAATACCAGGAGGCAGAAGGTTAAGAAAATCGAAGAAAAGAGAACAAGAACAAACAACGATTGGTGTGGAAACGAAGAGACAATCATGTCTGAGGCAATTGATTGACATTTTACAAATGAATTATTTACTGCATGATTCTCAAATTTTAATAAGACGTTCTGTAATTTTGTGTGAAAATACGTTCGAATGTTCCTATTGGTGTGCTCGTTCACTACAAAACTACTTACATCGAATGATACATAATTTATGCTGAAAATCCTAAATATTATACTAAACTTATAATACTGAATAAGACCTATTATGATTGATAAACTGTTTAACAGATATTGAAAAATCTAAACGGATTGGTTGAAGTTAGACATTAACACCTTTGGATACCGACTCAGTAGTCTAGAGGTTAAGTGTTGGCGAGCGAGACTGAAGGCCTTGGGTTCGAATCCCGCAAGCGGGATTGTGGATGCATACCGCTGAGGAGTCCCACAATACGAAGAAACGGCCATCCAGTGCTCCCAGGTTTTTAATGGTGGTCTGACATCAATCAGTTCATGATCTTAATCAAGTGCATAAAACTAATCGCTACATTAGAAAAAAGTTGCGCTTTTAATAATTAACACTTCTTATTGACAATATTTGTTGAATGGAATTTATTGAAACTCATAAGTAAATTGCTTTTTTGTATTCGTTTAATGGATTAATACTTACCATGTCCATCTTCAGTTGCTAACTTTGTAAACCATTTTTCAAGTTGATTATGTATATCGTCATTCCCAGTAGAATAACTATTTGTTGTTATTGTTGTTGTACGAATAAGTAGAAAAGATAGAATTAAAGTAATTAAGATTAATAACATGATGAAATAATCACAAATCTGTTTTCAATTTTAATCACTGTATTAAGATGGGGGGGGGAATTTGTAGCTCAGGTTGATGATTTTGCTGGAGTTTTGTTCTCTGAGCTGAATGGCTTAGTCGTGGATCTTTCATCGTTATTCAGAATGACATCATCCGCAAAAACTTCACGTTGACCTTTAACCAATCAAGATCAAGGTTTACAGGACAAGCTGTGAATCATATATGGAGAAATCCGAACACTTCACTTCTACCTGAAGTCTGTGCTGATGATATTATTCACAATAACGATGAAAGCTCCACGAACAAACCATCCAGCTCAGAGAACAAAACTCCACCAAACACCGTATAGATTAAGTTATATGCCTTCATCGAATTAAGTGATCAGAATATATTTGACATCGGCCTAGCATCCACATACTAATATATAGAATGCTGACCAATAGAGAAGCAGGTTGGAGTCAAACTAGGGTACTCAGAGTAATATATATGGAATCAATCAACAAAATTATTAACTTCAAGTTTGAACTGTGTTAGGAAGGTGTAAGTTTTCCAGTCAGGACCGTATGATATTCGTAACCAATGATTGGAAACGTTGGATGAACAAACTTAAAATAAGTTGAAATGGAAAAATTGTATCCACCTTAATTTTCCTTAAATATTGGACTTAATGGCATTCAATACTTGTTCTTTTTGAACTGTATGTAATAAGAAGAAGTGAACAAAATAATCATCACATTAATGAATGAACCCACAAGCTCAGACTAAAGTAGATGGTTTAATTAGGAGGTCAGTTCTTGGGCCTTAGAAAAGAAAGTTGAATCCATGAAGTAGTAGATCACCTTCAGGAGATGCAGTCCCGAAGTTGGTTTATACACTATTCATCTCCTGGTGATCGTGGAGCCCATGCACGCCATTGATTTGGAATCGGCATTTCCTCACTTTTCTAAATAGACCCTCCGCATCCACCGAAACCTATTTAAGAGCCTGACGTTCGCTTTACGTCCTCTCATATTCGTATTGAAAAGAACACCTCTCTACGTGAAAGAAGTGAGTAGACATTTCATGGCAGAAATAACAAATGCGTTTTTCAACCATGATCATGATACTTCACATTCTACAATAATGAATATTATATCCCTTTTCTCTCCTTTTCATTCTGTTATTTTTCTTTCACACTGTACTGATATAAAGCGTGGTAACTTAGTTCTGTGTTACCTACGTCTAACTAATTATAAATACAAATGTTATTACATATTATTAATTTATTTTTATTTTCAGTGGACTTACTCTAGATACAGGGGAAGATCTGATCCTTTGAATGATGTTTCACTTATTTTTGTACGGTAATCCACATCAGAATCCAAGTTGACTATATGACACTTTTCCTAGAACGGAAGAATAAACCAGGGCAAGTTTGTGTAATTGACTTGAAATTAATTTTGTATTGTTACAATAAACAGATGGTTAGGAATTCAGTAGTTAGCTTGTTTCCAACCTTTCGAAAAACTGTGAAAAAGAAGGTTGAATATTTAAAATAATAAGCTTTATATGTACACTGCAATCAGAATGGTAAGCTAATCACATGAACTCCTTTTCCTTAGTTAGCAAAGATGATTAAAACAAAACTTTTATGACATTGTCTGGAAACCAGGAAAACTAGAATACATTAATCAAAAACGGCATACAACTGGAATGATGATATGGATCAACCAATTAACCTGATCATTTGACTATGTAGTAACAGATGGAACGATTCGTTTTTGGTAAATAATAAGATGAAATTCGATACATAAAACAATATCCAAAGTACATATAATAGAAGGAATAAAGTGCATATTAGTTGCAAGACCTCAATTGAAAGTTATCTTTATTATTTTGAATACAACTACTATGATTTATTGACTGCACGATGTAATTCATTTACCGAGTAAAGATTTATATACTTGGTATTGAGCCACACTGTATTTTTGTGGGGATTACTGAATGACACTAGCCAGATGCGGTAATGGAAATAGATGAGGTGAGGTTCGAACCTATGATGTATTAACCACAAAACATAAGCCGTTTCATTTTCTTAAGAGACATGTCAGAGGAACAGCAAAGAGAATAAAAGACCATTGAAATCAACCAAATTTCCAAGCATTACCATAGAACAAAGTTGGTAAGATGTAGATACAGAAAAATATTTTAAACTAAATTTCGTAGCCGAAAAACACTTGATTTTTTTCGTAAATACGATTAATCATAACCTAAACAGTCTAATGATAACGTCATTGTATGCAGTATTGACAAACAGGTTTGCATTAAAATCATGAACTGATCAATGTTAGACCATCATTAAAACCTGGAAGTACTGGACGGCCGTTTCACCTTAGTATTGGACCACTCAACAGTTGGCGTCTACGATCCCACAAACGTGATTCTAACTCTGGACCTTCGGTTCGAGAACTTCTCGAAGCTAGTTACTAGTGATATGATAATTTACATGGTGGATTGGTTGAAGTTAGACATTACCATCAATTAATAATGATCAGTGTCATGCTTGTTTAATCTTTAAATGAAAATCGAATCCTATTGATCAAGTTGCAATTTTTCTACTAGTTTAAGTGATCAATCATTGTAAATATCTCAGTCCAACAAGAGCTTAATCGTGACCAAAATATTTCAATAATAATATTTCAGATTAAGAATTTGGGAAATGGAGGTTTGGATTCCAAAGGATGTATCAGTTTCCCGAAGACTGTAGGTAAGCCACTCTGAGGATTACCGACTAGTAAGAAAAGTAAGTCCACGATTTCCATTTGACTACCTTCAACCAAATTACACAAAAAAAGTTAAGCGTTTCTTAAGGAAAGATAGGTTCCACGTGTTCATAAACGGGAAGGTATAGATTTTAAGGTTATTTCCGAGTGATACTAACTAAGAATTTTTTTAAGAAGTTGCAAAGGGTCACCAAGCCATTGAGCTTAGTCATTTATAATTTGGAAGATGTAAAATAAATCCATTCAGCGCCAACGACTAATAAATTCAATGAATATTCAATTATCCGATATCATTTTTTTAAATTTTATGTTTCATACATAATTTCACTGTAACAGTTTATTTATTTTAAAAGATATTGGTACAAGGAGGCACCAAATACATATGCGCCACGCAAATTTCATTCGATATGTGTGAGGGCTGTGATACTGCCCGAGTGCCCAAACCAAAGCAGGTGGTTTTCTTAGGGGACCACAACCCGAGCCTTCGAACTGAAGGTCTGATCCACAAGGCAGTGGATCATCGTAAGAAGATGCAGTCCCATGGTAACCGGTGACCAATGATTTGTTCATACGCCACTTGTTTTTTCAGGGTACTGGAGCCCTTGTGCATCAATGGTTTGGAATGAGAGTTTTCCAACTCCCCTAGGTAGACTCTCCAAGTTCACTTACCCGGTTAAAGCATCGGACATTCGCCTTTCGTCCTCTCAATTTCGTAAACAATGAGTAGGACTTCCCTGGTAGAGGCTATATACGCGTGGTCATGTGAGAGCATTTCGAAATGGAGAGCGAACTCCCCCTACTCTCGGCCGTACCAGGGCACTTGGAGGCTAATTACACACTATCCTTATATATATATATATATATATATATATATATATATATATATATATATATATATATATATATATATATATATATATATATATATATATCGATCTATAGTTTTTCAGTTTACATATATGTATATATAACAACTTACTTTAAGAAGACCTATAAAAGGTACAAAGTTTACACGTTGTAATCCATTCTTGTATAGATCTAGAACAAAAGAATTCAATATGTAAGTAAGAATTTAGAAAAAATGTCCTTTTGTTTATTTATAAACATTGTATAAGGAAAAAAAGAAACTATAAATTATAATTGAGTAGATTAGAATTCTCAACTTCCGATGATATTCATCATAGATGTTCTTCTAGATATTATAATATTTTCAACGACTGGATATTCTACCAGAAGGTTCATCTATTGACATAGTCCAATGCCAATATTTTCATCAAGGAAACTTATTTAGAATTTGTTATATATAGAGCTTAGATTTTTTATATACCATATATAACTTGAGCACTCGGACGCTAGAACACACCTTCGAAGTGCAAAGTACTTCTACAAGACTGGTAGGATCCTAATCCTGTACTCACTCTGGATGGTGAACAGATAGAAGTAGTCGAGAAGTTCGTGTATCTGGGTAGCTGTATAAGTGCTGGTGGTAGCGTGAGTGATGTAATCAATGCACGTATAGTGAAAGCCAGAGCGACTTATACCAATCTGGGCCATCTTTGATATCTTCGTGATGTTAGTCTGGCTGTAAAAGGTCGGATCTACAACGCGTCGATGAGAGCAGTTTCGCTCTATGTTTTTGAAACCTGGCCTCTCCGATTTGAGAACGTTAGACTCTCTGTGTCTGATTATCGTTGTCTCAAAAGGATTGCTGACATCCAGTGTCAACACCATGTTAGTAATTCAGAGGTTCGGCATCGTGTGTTCGGGCACGGAGATGATAATGCAATGGGTGTCACTATCTTGAAACATCGACTTCGGTGGCTGTAACCTTCTTTTACTTTCTTCGTAAAAAATGGTTGTATCTTCTTTAACTGAAAGATTTCTTCTGATTGTACCTTTCCGTTCCCCCATTATTACCATTATTATTATTACACTACCTTACACCAATCTGTTCGTTATTGTTCTCTTTTTTTTTCTACGCCTTTGCCTTTTTTCTTCTCTTTAAATTCTCATTGTTTTATGTGGCGCATATATATTTGGCGCACTCTTGTACCAATATTTATGTGTTCAAATAAGTAAATAAATAATAGAACACTACCAAGTCGCAAATGAGAACACAGATGAAAGGAATGTTATTCCAAACAGTGTCAATTATGGTACAGAACTGTCAGGTATTTATAGGTTTTGGTAAAAACGAAATCGTCATTATAGTTATCCAATCCGCAAACAGGGGGTTATTAACATTAGTCCAATAGGAGAGCTACACATAGGGATCCTGGAATATTCTTCTAAAGGATGATTGGATGAAATATCTTCGTCTCTTTCTGAGCATCTTAGCGCTTGCTCGAGTTCACCCATGAACTGTCCTCACAGAATTACATGATATGTATAAATCAGCTTTTAAAGTGAATCATACTCCTTATGTAATATTTACTGAATATTGTAAACTTAGAAAATTTTATTTAATGTGTATAAGTGTTGGATATGTGAATACCCCAGATACTACAATTAAAAAATAAGTTTAAGGATTGAAAAAATCAATATAAAGTGAACTTCATTCATTCACTTTGGATGTTTTCATTTTCATATGGATCGATTTATTCAGTATGAAGTTCGTCTGTTTTACTTTCAATAAATCATCATGACATCAGGTAGTCTACTGTGATTTATATTCAGTAAGAAATTACTCAGTTAATAAATTATAATTAACATATATTTATTTTCAGAAGGGAAGTTTTGCGGAGATTTTAGTAATTTTATAGTTGCATTCATGAGTCAATTAAAGTTAGACCACCATGGAAAACCAGGAATCACTGTACTGCCGTTTCGTCCTAGTATGGGACTCATGAAAAATACGCATCCACGACTAATTGGCCATCTAGTGCTTTCAGGTTTTCCATAGTGGTCTAGCTTTAATTGACTCATATATTTATTTATTTAAACACATGAACATTGATACAATAAGGCACTAAATACATATGCACCACATAAATCATTTGATATATATGAGGGTTGGAATACTGCCTGGATGCCCAAACCGACATAGGACTGATTAAAAAGAATATCAATCAGTCAGCTAAAACGTAGGAACAGGCACATATATCAGTCAGTCAGTAACAACGTAAAACTTCGTACGTACGTACATCAGTTCGAGTTATCACACCACAATAGCACAGAGATGCAGTTGTCGATTCAAATCCCGTAGTGGTAGAGGCGGTAAGAGTATAAGCAGTGATCGGAAAGATTAGGGTTTGAATATGTAATTCAAAGAATATAATCCAGTGAAATAAATTTGGAAAGAGAAAAAAAGAGACAAGGGGGATTCAGGAGATTAGCATTTGGGAGAACACAAAGAGTGGATGCACCTGCGCCATTGCAAACGATTTTGAGCCATATCATTCAGGGTCTCTAACCATCGGTTGCTATCATCTCGCAGTCCCCAACCAGGTAGTCTACACCTACCAACATGACTCAGACCACTTGTCAGTGACTTCATAGACTTGTGCCATGTTTTGGTCTGGCCACCCCTAGTTTTCTTCCAAACTACTCCCATATCATTGAGCATCGCACTTCGAGGCAGTCGGTGGTTGGGCATACGTAACACATGTCCCAGCCATCTCAACTGATGAAGTTTCACTACTTCATCAATTGATTTGCCATCCTTACCTAGTACCCGTTTCCTAACAACTGTGTTACTTACTCGATGGTCCCATGATATACGAGCAATGTTTCGAAGACACCTATGATCGAATACTAGTAACCTACGAATATCCTCTACTCTTACCGGCCATGTTTCACTGCCATAAAGTAGGACGGAACGAACTGCTGAGCATTCAACCCATCCTTTGTTTGGTAGACGGATATCTCGCCTAGGTCATAAATGATGCAAGTTGGCAAAAGCTAGTCGAGCCTTCTGTATCCGTGCTGAGATTTCATCACACACCAGACCACAAGGGCTGATGAGACTTTCAAGATAAGTGAAGCGATCGACACGCTCAACTACTTCACTCCCTATCATTAGTTCGGGTGTCGATGTAACCCAATCCTGAAGCAACATTTTGCATTTCGAGGGGGAGAATCGCATGCCGAACATGCTTGCATTGTTGCTTAGAGAGGTCAGAAGACTCTGCATTTTGTCAGCGTCTTCGCCAAATAAAACTATGTCATCAGCATATTCCAAGTCAACAAGTGAATCTCCCAGTAGAAGTTCAACCCCTGGAAATCTAGACGAGGAATGTGTTATCTATAACAGTACATCGACGACAAAGTTGAACAAGAATGGGGAGAGTGGGCAGCCCTGACGAACACCACTTGAGGTAATCAATTCTGATGACAGTTCGCCATAAGCTCTCACTATACCAGTTGTGTTCGAGTAGAGAGCTTTCACAAGGTTAATGTACTTCTTTGGTACTCCTTTCAGTGACAAACACTGCCATAGAACCTTACGATCAACAGAGTCGAATGCCGCCTTAAGGTCGAGAAATACTACGATTGTGGGGCGTCTGAATGTGCATCTGTGTTCTAGGACCTGACGTAGTGTGAATATCTGGTCTATACAACCACGTCCAGGTCGAAAACCGGCCTGGTTTTCTCTAGTCTGTTCTTCACGAGCTTTGATTAGGCGTCGAAGTATTATTGAAGCCAATATTTTAGACACAGGCACATATATGCATCGGTCCAAACTGCTATACCTCATTAGCACAACAAGATGGTGGTAATATATACAAGAATGATTGCGTATAACGATCGAGTACAGGAAGAAAAAATTAGTTTTGGTGGAGTTTTGTTCTCTGAGCTGGGTGGTTTGGTCGTGGAGCTTTCATCGTTCTTCTGAACGACATCATCAGAACAAACTTCAGGTAGAAGTGAAGTGTTCGAATTGTGCTGATGATGTCGTTCAGAAAAACGATGAAAGCTCTACGACCAAACCACCCAGCTCAGAGAACAAAACTCCACCGAAGTCATCTACCTGAGCTACAAATCTTCTCCACCATCTCAAAGAATTAGTTGGCAGAAAGACATAAAGCAGAAAAAAATATAATTAAATAGAATTTTTTTGCAGTGTTCAGCAAAACATTTTCGTCAGAAAACTTTTCTCGTATTTGTTGTCCAGGAGGTTGTAATTAGAGTGGTATGTATTAGCTGTCCAGTCTATCCAGTGAGCATAGATCCTATCCTGTATTAGAATAATCATTCAAACATTCGTAATGAGAAATACATAACAAGATTTTAATTCATAACAACAGATTATTGTGAATTGATTAAATAAAATGTCTTTTTTTGTTTATGATAATCTAATGAAAACAACAAACAATAATAAAAGTCATCATCAACTAACCGTCCGGACAACGATTTGATGTGGCAACAACAACAGCGCCAAGATTAAATAAATTCTCAAATAACCGTTTTAATATCATTGCATCTGCAATATCTGTAACCTAATTTACATTGAAAACAAGAAAATAGAAAACTTTTATTCAATAATTTTCTCAACTTACAAAGAAATCGAATAACACTGAATTTTTGATTGCTACAACAACCCTATTAGGGTTTATGCGAATCGATTTCGTCACTACGAGAGCTTCCAACGCCTCATCAATATGTTAACTATGGATTTTGACTGGAATGATGCATTTTTCGATTGTTTTTGTGAATAATTTTATGACATAGTCGGGAAGATCAATCGAAGCTTTTTATTATTTTATTTTAACACATAGATATTGGTATAAGGAGGCACCAAATACATATGCGTCACACAAATCTCATTCGATATGTGTGAGGGCTGTGATACTGCCCGAATGCCCAAACCAAAGCAGGTGGTTTTCTTAGGGGACCACAACCGGAGCCTTCGACCTGAAGGTCTGATCCACAAGGCAGTGGATCATCGTAAGAAGATGCAGTCCCATGGTAGCTGGTGACCAATGATTTGTTCATACGCCACTTGTTCTTTCAGGGTACTGGAGCCCTTGTGCATCAATGGTTTGGAATGAGAGTTTTCCAACTCCCCTAGGTGGACTCTCCAAGTTCACTTACCCGGTTAAAGCATCGGACATTCGCCTTTCGTCCTCTCAATTTCGTAAACAACACCCCTGCCATGAGAAGGCAATGAGTAGGACTTCCCTGGTAGAGGCTATATACGCGTGGCCATGTGAGAGCATTTCGAAAGGGAGAGCGAATTCCCCCCACTCTCGACCGTACCAGGGCACTTGTTAATAACTTCTATTCGTGACATTAAGTTTTTGACTTGACTAAATGTAATTGAGGGCGACCTATGATAAAAACCTTTCTCTATTTTTTTAATACGACAGTCGTAAATCTAAACATGTAAAATACAGTTCAAGAGGAATGAAACACATCGGTAGATGAAACGATATGTATGACAATTGAACTTCATATTTCAAAGGAAAGAGAATGAATAATAATTTATTATCGAAAAAACAAACCTGAAATTCATCGAAGCACAACAATTTGTATTGATCAATGATACTTTTTGCTACTGGAGGAATAGGATCAAATGATTTTTTGTTTCTCAGAGCAGATGAACGGATAGCATGTAGCCCTCAAAGAAAGATATATGTCAAACAAAAAGTGGGAAAATATGGTAGATTATAACATTTACTTGTGATATGTTTTGTACTCAGTTTAAAGTGTAGACTTTTCCAATGATAACTACACTGCAATGAATTAGTAGAATGACTTTGTATGCTTCAGTTTTATTTAAATACTTGTTTGGTTTACTTATAAACTAATTACAGACTTATGTACTCAGCTTTAAGCTGTACTTATACTGTATGTAGGCTAGCGACCGTATATGGTTGCTTAATACAAAATAGACGAAGTGAAGTTCAAGTTTGTGACCTAATGACTGAAAGATAAGCATTTTAGCTGCCCTAAGCTACCTCTTTGTTTCAGTTTTATGAATCTCCAAATTGAAAATAGTTCACAGATATATAGATATGTTATACCACTTAGCAATTAATGACTGACAGAGTTCTATCAAAAGTAAACTTACTTCACAGACGATGAGTTCAGTGTTACATAATACGGAATATCTGGAGACTTCATTAATATAAACATCTAATTTGCTAACAATAAGCTGTAGGTCCTAGTCTAGTTCAGATAGCTAAGTGATATTGTTAGCTTTAGTAAAATTAATGTGCAATGTACGTTAGTGAGTGAAGAGACAAAAAAATAGTAGTTTGAGACTGCAATACAGAATTCGATGTTTAAATAAAAGGACATATTTAATTTTGTATGGTAACGGTGTTTACGGAAGATAGGAGGTAAGACACAACGAGGTTAAGAAGAAAATTTAGTTTTATTTGCGAATAACTCAGAAAATGAAGGACCTAGCTGAGGCATGATATCTTATTTATCTACCGTCCGTAGTTCCCAGCTGACTTATGTTATCAGACCAAATAAGTATTCTCCAAGAAGATTTGTAAGAGTTACCAAAGCATAAAAATAAACGGAAATGGAGCAATGTTTTGACATGTGACAGTAATTAAAGGTCAAGTGCTCTGATCATTGAGCCATCAATTCTTATATGATTAGCTTAGAAGATATCACATTATTTTAACAATTTTTGCCACTAAATCTAAGTTACCAAAGTAGAATGTATAATTATAAACTACTTTTGAACGGGTAGTAAGTGGTCTAACTTACTGAAAATTAGTTACAACAATCCCTACCTATTGTTAAAGCTATTTTACAGTATACTGTAAAATTATCATTCCCATATATTAATGGAACTTGAGGTGTGTTTATTTACTTATTTTAACACATAGATATTGGTATAAGGAGGCACCAAATACATATGCGCCACACAAATCTCATTCGATATGTGTGAGGGCTGTGATACTGCCCGGGTGCCAAAACTGAAACAGGTGGTTTTCTTAGAGGGCCACTCCCCGAGCCTTCGAACTGAAGGTTTGATCCACAAGGCAGTGGAGCATCGTGAGGAGATGCGGTCCCATGGAGGCCGGTGAACAACGATTGGTTCATACGCCACTTGTTCCCGCAGGATATTGGAGCCCATGTGCATCATTAGTTTGGAATCCGGTTGAAGCGCCGGACATTCGCTCTCAATTTCATAGACAACACCCCCGCCACGATAAGGCAGTGAGTAGGACTTCCCTGGTAGAGGCTATATAAGCGTGGCCATGTGAGAGCATTTCCCTACTCTCAGCCGTACCAAGGCATTTGGGGGGCGTGTATACGACAACATTTGATTTGATAAACACTAAGACAAGAAAATTGGACTAGACTATATTCTATGGATAAACGAATCAGGAAAGATGACAGGTCTGGATTTATGGCGCAAACCTAATTCATCCATTTGGTTAGAGTTTTGTCATCATAGCTGGTGTTAGTTCATGATGGAAACCCTAAATCTAATCCCTAACCTTAACCATCAACTGTAAATCATAATTCCTCTCACTTGCTTACAATCCTCATTTGGTCCTCGTTATTAGGTGGACACTCCCAATGTCACTCAAATATCGTCCATAAATTATAGTCTAACCGAATAAATTAATTTCTAATAATTGAATACATGAGTCGATTTAAGCTAGATCACCATTGTGTGGCACCATCTCTAGGACCCCAACTAGGGAGTAATGAAGGATCAACAGAAGCCAGTCCTGCACAACCTTCCTTCATACTTCGACACCATTTCATACACTGACCATTTCTCCGCTTTTTCCAACCAGTCCCAGTGTCGCCAATAAATGCTCGACGTGAAATCCTCTGTGACGACATTCGTAGAATATGACCAAGAACATGATCAAAATAGTGACACTAATTGAATTATCGTTGCTGTGCTCGAACACACGATGCAGAACCTCTGAATTACACTGGATGTCAGCAATTCTTATGAGGCAACGATAATCAGACACAGAGAGTCTAATGTTCTCAAATCGGAGAGGCCAGGTTCCACAAACAGAGCGAAACTGCTCTCATCGACGCGTTGTAGATCCGACCTTTTACAGCCAGACTAACATCACGAAGATATCAAAGATGGCCCAGATTGGTATAAGTCGCTCTGGCTTTCACTATACGTGCATTGATTTCATCACTCACGCTACCACCAGCACTTATGCAGCTACTCAGATACACGAACTTCCCGACTACTTCTATTTTCAGAAACGACAATGATTACTGGAAATTCCTGAATACCAGTCGACGGTGAAAACGATTAATCTTTTTAACAGGTACGATTTTTACACAAATTGATCGAACTCTAAAACACAGCAATCACGTTACGTTGAATATTTACGGGGATAACATAGATATATATTCACTACTTTACGCATGATCTTAGTACAACTTAAACTGAAGAACAGTGAACAGGCTCAACTCGAACGTTTACAAAGTGATTCAAACGATGAGGAACGAAATTAGTAAAATGTCACACATATGATATCTTTGAAAACATCGGTTTAAGGCACAAAAAGCACCACTGAAAGTTAAATTTCTCTAATTTATTAAGTCATAGATAATGACCATTTCATGGTGTTTAGTATTTTAAAAATCAACTTTGAGTCTGTTATTTTTTCCGAGTGGTTCAGCACAATTCATAAGATATAGCAGGATAGGTCAAAGTTAAGAACGATGTATGATAAGGATTCATCAGTTCCCCTGCTAAATAATCAACTCTCGAAGACTAGTACTGTAAGCGGTGTAACTGCTAGTTCATTTTCTTTCAATAGAATAAGTAAACACAAAAATCTAACAGAAATGATGTACTTTAGGCCTTTGAAAGTCTTTTGTCTTTAGATAAAAAATTAGCTCTTTAGTATTTATATCACCAATGATTATTATCTGCAAAGATATACTACGAATTTTAAAAACAGCATTATTAACAAATAAACAATGCACAAGTTTTAACACACTGACTAACATGACAACTTACTTCCATGTACTTCAAACATGAATGAGTGGAAGTGAGTTCTCCACTTGTAATCGATGCTACAGCACTCATAAAACAAATCCATTAACATAGTCTTCCCACAACCTTTAAAACGTTTACTCCTTTCTAATATTAAACTAACCCACAGAACCGTACAGATAAATACCTCTAGGAGCACTTCGACTATTAATCACCTACCATATATTAGGTATAGTAGTAGATAAACTTACTGATAATAATCGACTTCTGTTATAGTATGAGTGTAACTCCTTACAAAGTCCATCAAGTTGTCTGACAATCGAAAATTGGAAATCGTCATGCCTAATTTTTCCTTCTTTAACAAGTCTACAATACATAGATGAAGTTATTTGTCCATCAGCATATTGTCTCAAAGGAATGAAATGACTTTTTTGAATAGCGAATAAAATATTAGTGGCACAGACTTTACTCAACATTAGGCAGGAAATGTAATTATGCAACTATGATCTTTATATCTCTCAGTTCCAAAATCTCTGAAGATGTGGAGAGCAGAAACTAAATCTTTAACGTTTGACCAAACTTTCGAACAGATTATTTCCTCAGCTCCATGTCTGAAGCTCTGAGAGTAAATTTTACATACATTGAGGTCAAAGTTTTGTCTCGAATATGCCAGAAACCTGAAAAAAAAACAGACTTTAATAAGATGTAGACTAATAAAACACTAGTTGAAAGACACTTCAGAACTTCTGAACTTGAAGCAAATATCAGCCCGTTTTTACGAGATCAAAAAATTCAGAATCCTTAAAACATGGATTTAACTGGTAAGTTACTGTAAGAGTAAGTATGAATCACCATACGACTGTTTCCATGCTTAAACCACAATGCCTTCAGATAAGGACGTAGATACACTTAACGAGCGAAAGGAAAATTTTAGTAAATCATGATGAAATATCGTTGAAAGTTCTCAAGAATATGTCAAGTTTTCTCTTGGAGTCCTGAAAAGTCACATAGACCATCTCAGCTGGCAGCGAATTCCAGTATTTGATAACTCATAAAGAGTAGAGCGTGTGCCTACATTCCATTCCATGTTGTCGCGAATGTCTGTGTATTCCCCTAAGGTGTGTGTTGAGAGTGAGCTTCAGTGAATAATTTAGGTTAGGAGTGCTTAAGATGCTGCAATTCATTAAAAGGTCACCTTTGAGATACTTACAAGTTAATAGGTACAGAACCGATGATTTGAGGCACACTTCTCAAGGTTCGAATTTTGATTCCTCAGAATGATTTTGTAGCTCTTCTGTAGATGCGTTCCGTTGTATCTGCATACTTCTGGAGTGGAGGAGACATATTTTCGTAGAATGGATGGGGTCGAATAAAACTGTTAAACATTGAGTGGAAAGTTCTGCTGCTGATCTGACCAAAAGTGAGCTTCAACCTTACTAGTACAAGCTCTGCTCGAAGGTATTTATGTCGCAGCGTAAGACTTTCGATCACAGAACACCAAAAATCCCAGATACTTATCAGTTTGAGACACTTCCAGAGCAAAGTTGCCTAAGTTGTACGTGCAGTCTGCAACGTTTCAGATGGACTACTTTACACTTAGAAGTGTTGAACATAGGTCCGCTGTTATCTGCCCAACTATAAAGTTGAATGAGATCCTCCTGAAGTCCCAGTTTGTCATCCTGGTTACAAAATTAACATCGTCAGCGAAAAGTAATAACTCAGATGATATTAGCTGAAGGTTCCAGTACAGAACCCTGAGGGTACCCCGCTAAGATATTCATTAGTCTGAGAGGTCAAATTTATCTAAATATGAACTATATCATCTATTGGTGGTGACTTGATACCTAATATTTTGAACTTATTGATGAGACAAATTTGAGTGACCCAACTAAAAACCTTTGAAGAGTCAAGGTATGTCACATCTACCTTTTCATTGAGATCAAGGATGGTTGTCCACCTGTACACCTGAGTCATCAGTGGCTTTTCGTGAAACCATATTATTGTGGTAAAAATAAGTTCATGGACTACAACTAGTCATGTAGACCATCACATACCAAAGACTCCATAATTTTTGAGTATTAAAAGTGCTACCAGTCGATAGCCTGAAGGTTTATTGCGTCAGGCTCCTCTGGAAAATTGGTGGACCAGCTCCTAAATGTCTGAGATCGCGTTTTCGTTTAAAGGAAACTTGGTATTGGCACGTTGGACTGATGCATATATGTGCCTCACCCTGCGTTGCAACTGACTGACTGACTTAGTATTGGACGATCAAGTTGGCATTTCTCTTTGTCATCTGAAGAGCAACTGCGAACGTTGGATGCACGTTCTCAACAAGAAGACATGACGGAGCAAATTTGAAAGTCTATTAAAGTGATTGGGTTATTACTTTACATTTTAGATGGCCATAGTGATGCGACTAATCAATGATAATTCAAACAACCTCCGTGTGCTATACCTTGTCATATGTCATGAAACATGAAGTGGTCAACCACATTGCACTGCTTGGCATTTCATAAGTACAGGTTTCACAGCAGTGTACGAAGCATACGCTTTATATTTTTACCCATTAGGTACAATAACACCACATTGTTTATCGTCAACTGTCACAGAAAAAAGCCTTGCGAAATTGTATGAAACAGTAAAACAGAGTAGTTTTCACATGAGAAATAAACTGAAAAAGCATCATATAAGTAAAAATTTGAAGTAACAACCTTTTATTATTTTTCTGTAGTTGCACTGTTCAGGGTTAATGAACATTACCGTAAGTCTTATTTTATGTTGTCAGTTGTTGACCAAAAAACGTTTGCAGTTTAATGTTGTAAATGCTAGTTTTTTTATTTCAGAGTCCACGAAACGGCCATTTCGATTCTGGACGGTAACACTTAAGTTCCAGTTTTTGAAAATCCTTTTTATTTTAACGATAACTATAAGCATTATTTATCTATGTATTCACTTTCTCACTTACATGTGCTACATAGAGACATATTAGGCACATGTTGAGAGTGTGCTTGGTTGCCTATGGAGTTGACAATTAGGATATATTCCTAATAAATAACGCATTACATTTTAGCTGTAACCTTTTTGGCAGATCGTCGTCAATGACAGTGGGACTTCGCTGTGGCGAATATAGGAAAGATTTGGGCTAAAAGCATATAATAGTGCGCAAATAAAAGTGAAAGTTAAGTGTAAATTTACTAGACAACTTGGTGTATTTAGGTGAGAAGCAAATAATTCGGAAAAATTGCTAACTTACGCTGACAAAAAAGAGGATGTTGACCTATTTCCCAATGGCAAGCGAAAATGGATTTTTTGACGCGTCTTTCATTTCCATATTATTGTCTCAAGGAAAATTACCCCTTATTTCCTACATATTTGCCTTTATTTTTGGTTTGCTTGGATAGACCATAATTTCGTCGATTTTCGCTCTCATAAAAGTTTAGAAAATCTGGGTGACTTAAAAAGCTATAATGATGCCCAATATCTTTATTTTTGGGGAAACCGCTATAGAAAACTTTGAGGAAATGGCACAAAAACCACAATATTTATCCAAACTTTAGGGAAAACTACCAAACTTTCCACGACTTTGGGGAAAACCCGAACTAAAAAAAGCGTAATCGAAGAAAACAAGAACATGTACCAATTTAAAGTGATAATTATCCTCTACTGTTCCATAAATACATTCTTCAGTGTTAACGAACATAACCGTAAGTGAAACTTCAAGTAGCTAGATGTGTAAAAGCATGTCATTCAGATATCGTGATAAACTTTTTTGTTCTTTACATTTCAGAATTCACAAGAAGATTGTTTTGATCCTCAATAGTCGAACAGGCGCTACGAAAGGAAATAAGCAGTGGAGTATTGATCATGCTCAACTTCGTTTCCAATAAACATGTCATTGAACATGCGTTTACTTTTTTACTTGAGTAAAAAAATCTTTGACTAAGTGTTCAGAAAAACTGTTTGATTCGCAATTAAGTACACGTGCCTAATTAATAATACATTAATTGTTCTTTCTATTGTACATCTTTTCAAATTATAATTAGACTTGGCAATTACAATTAAAATACATAACGGTTGATGCTCTAGCATTTACCAACTACTCATAGTGTTGTACAACACTATGTTTTTTTCTTTACGACAAATTTCCTTACACATATACCATTTTTTTACGTAAATGCAGTTTTCGTGTGGTGTGCTATGGAAATAAAGGCGAATATGAGACGTTTGGGGTTATGCCGAGGGTGTTTTAGAAGTGGGGACAGAATTACGGGAATAGGCGTGTATTTTGGCAAAAAGCAGACAGTTTAGCGTATATTTAGGCGAAAAGTATACAATTCAACGACTTTTGAAACACAGAGAGAAATAGAAAGGGAAAATCCTCATTATTTCCCGCGGACAGGAGAAAAAGCAGAAGTTTGGCGCGTCTCCTTATTATTTTTCAACGAATTTCCCCCTTTGTTTGTCTTTATTTCTCCTTTATCACTGACTTAAGTGAAACTTATTCTACATACGTAAAGACGACGCAAATTTTGCAATCCTATCAAACTGTCCGAAATATGTGAACAAATTCCTTTTTGAGTACTACTACAGTCTCCCGTTAACATTACCTTCCTTTCTAATACTCAATATTTTTGTCACAAGATCGGACAAGTAGGCGGTCGACCTTCAACCCAGATCGCGCCTTTTCCACGAACCTGAGAGCATCATTTTGTTTTACAGTTCGGAAATACCCGGAGGATTCATAGTAAGCGTTTGGTAATCGCCGATCCGCAATTACTCCCAACGTGTTGGGTACGGATTCAAACGACCGTTGAATCTAGTGGGGGAGTAATGTATGGCCAGCGAAATGTCACTAAGCCCTAGCCAAAACATCCGGCAGTCGGGTCATTGAATATCGAGGAAATCATCGATCCTCGTCAAGGTCAGGGACAACCAACGTGCATCAGTTAATTGTATGCCATGGACTGGCGCATGCAGCAGTGGTCTCACTTCCGCTTGCATCTACTTTAACTAATATATTTTTGTAATAACGTCCTCTGTGTTATAATGTCTTCAAAGCATCTATGGTACCTTGATAAGTCAATGGGGTAGTCCACGTAAGGTGCTGAACACGAGGTGTGACTTCGACGTTAGCTAGTTTGTCACACCATTCCTGTCTAATTCGGGTAGGCCTCCAATCATTTCGACATAGATCATCTGCGTTGGTGATTCACAGGTAACACATCGTTCTATCCAAAGTTAAAGAGATGATTGACCATCAGTGAGTTTGGGACTGTTGGCATCTACGACAAATACTAACAGTGCTTTCTGTACTTTACTCAGAAATTTCGCTTCCCAATAATCAGGTTTTCGTTTTGTTTTATATAAACGTAGTCCCATTCGTCATGCTTTTTGTTCGGAAAGTACATCGTTCAACAAAACTAATTCGTCGAGGTATATCATGCTGAGCAGACGGTTCGTTCGTTGAGCGGAGTTCGAAACAGCGTTGAATGATAAGGAAAATCCGTGGCCAGTTCCGATCTACACACCATCTTTAGATCAAGTGGTCAAATGTGTTTGGGAAAGAGAATGTTCATGAACTTCACATAACTGATGTGAAGACTGTTTGAGCGCATATATCTACAGGCAAGTATCCACTTAAATATTTTCGGGCTGTTGCATTCGATTGCAAGTCCTCATTTTCCCAAGACGAAAACGTGAGGTCAGAGAGTTTCGTTTCTGAGACGTATTCATACTTAGAATCTGCTTTAGTAGTTACGACCAGATTGCATTATATATGTAATATCTGGGAGTTATATATATATTCTACTTACAATAAAAACGGGAAGAAATAAGTGTTCTGCATAACAACTTTTATTTCAGAAATAATTGGTATTTCAATTAATGGTATCTGAAAACTTTCGCGGCTCTCGGCTGGCATGGACACAAACCGGAATTCAGGTCAATTTATTCTGCGCATTAGTGTGGATGACAGAAATAATGCTTCGCCCATTGTTATGATTTCTCTTATTGTGACACAGCTACTCTTATCGCTAAGCATTCTTGGACACTACTTCACCTGACAAATCCCCAAATTAAAGCACGATTGAACTGGAACGTAATTATATTCCAAATAAAAATGGTTAGGTGGAAGAAAGAATTACAGTAAGAAACAAGATGGTATACTTATGGTTTTTTATAGGAAGATCACAGTCTCCTTTAACTATACGCTAGAGCTGATTGGATGATAAAAAAGGCCGATTGACGTGTCCCAACACAGTCCCGTACGGAAAATGTCCTAATCCAACCTAGATTTATCTAGCACACATCAAGGACAGCGACGTTTCATATGGACTATGCTCTTACTGAAGTCCCCACAGTCCGAAAGACCTGACATAATCTTACTCTGTCTTCACGCTTGCCGTCCTGTGTTCGAGCCCCGGGTGGTGCGGGGTCGTGGATGCGCACTGTTGAGGAGTCCCATACTAGAACGAAGCGGCCGTCCAGTGCTTCCAGGTTTTCAATGGTGGTCTAGATTCAACTGAATAATGATTTCAATCTGTGAAAAAAGTAAATGCTTGCAGACTAATAACGTGGTATTTAAGCCACTAAAAGTATTTTAAAGGTCGACCTTTATTATTTAGAGTGAACAGAGATAGCTGAATGGCCTGATTTAACATATGAGCTGCTTGTGCTGTCATCTAGATATTTAAACAGGTCATAGAATGTGTTTGTTTTAATGTACCATGTAGTTGTGGCACGGTTAGAACGTTTTCGTGCACATGTTACATGTTCTCGAGGATTTTTAATAACGTTATTTATCAGGTACCAACAGCATTTTTCCCGTTTCATATGAGGCTTCGTAATGTTTATGCTTGTTACATGGCTTTTCGTTTGCTTGTAAGTAATTTGACATATTTGTTGCTGATAAATTGGGTGAGTGTTTAGTAAGCCTAATGGCTGAGACTATAATTTATGGACGACCTGTGAGCAACGCTAAAGTGACCTTGAGAATGTACACCTGTTAATTAGGACAAAATAATAGCTATAAACCAGTTAGATTCATGATTTACTGTTGGTGCCTAAGGTTAAAAATTAGATTTAGGGTTTTCGTCACGAACTGACATAAGCTATAATTCCAAAACGTTATTTAGCCAAATTGATGGATGAATTTTACGTTATTACTCGTTATCGTATACCTTATTGGGTCGTCCATAAACTATAGTCTCGCCGCCTAATGTGCTTATTTGTAACACTGAGAAGTCAGGCTAGTGAAATTCACCATTTATCAAGTCAAAAATGGACTGAATTCAGCATTTCAATCAGAAACGAGTTCTGAAAGCATTCACATTTGATTCGCTCTGTGATATTCAGGAGCATTTGAGGTATAGTGTGGACTAAGAATCCCAGAAATAACGTAATCGGATCAAGAAGTACTAGATAGCCACAAGCGAATGTACTGTATTTAGAATTTGAAGTCAAGTATTCAACAAGTACAATAGAATCATTAGTTCATTCAAACACGAAACCCCCTTAACTAATGTGGTGTTGAGCATGTATGTTGGTAGTTGTTTGTAAAATTTAATTTGAAGTAAATAAGATTTAAACTATTTTCGTACATTACATAAGTTACTAATATGCAGCCATAAACAGTTCTATCCATTACGATATCACAATCAAGAAAAAGGCCCAAAAATATCCAACACCTTGTAGTGTTTAGCCTTTGACAAGTTGCATTTAGCCTGAAGGCACCTTGTTTTCTGGGAGAGGGTGAGGAGCAATATATGGGAGAATCCGGAAAAGAACGGAATAAATGAGATGACGGTTCTGTAAACATGGTGAGTTCATTGACATTTGCTAATAAAAACGATCAACAACAGCCAGAAATAACATGAATTTGAGATTAAGACAAACTGGTAGTAAAAGCAAGAATTTGATGGAGTAAGGTTTAGAATGAGTTATAACCTAACACGTGGTGGAGAAGATTTGCAGCTCAGGTGCATGATTTTGATTGAGTTTTTTCCTCTGAGCTGGATGTTTCAGTCATATAGATTTCATCGTTATTCTGAACGACATCATCAGAAAAAACCTCAGGTAGATGTGACTGCATCAGAGTCTGACACGTATTGAACATCTGAAACCAGATACATTATAGTTTTATGGACGCATGTGTGATAATTAGAAGTATTTGAATCATTATACGAACTAGGAATTCCCAAAATAGCACAATTTAAGCCAGACGGAAGTAGGTGAGTACAAATGAACGTATTGTATTCAAAATACGAAATCAGGCACACATTGAGTATTATAGAATCATTAGTTCATACAACCACAGCATATTCATTCCTTCACATAATTTGTCCTTCAATACTGATTCACTTTGATGTATCCATATGTACTTCTTGCAAGGCATTCATATCCCTTTGAAAGAGAAGCGTTGTAAAGATGTCGCTGGTCTCCATATGTAAAAGTCTGTAGGTCTTTAGTAGTGCCAGAATGAATTGGAAGGTTAGCATGCCCAGTTGCCTTCGAAAGAAGTAAAGATTATGTAGACATTATATACAGCTGGTATTTACCATTAATCGAAAGTCTTTCTAATGTTAACAAACTCAAGTTGCGCTGCAGAAATGTCACAGGGAATTGGTGGCTGTAAAGAAAATAGTCGGCTTAAAGTTTGACCGCAGCTAAAGATAATACCGTTTAATGTTATTGAAAACTGGATATAATACTATTGCTTTGAGTTTATAATTCCACTATTCCTAGGTTTTTTGAGGGGACCTCAAAAATGATCGTCACATATTATAGCATCCTACAAGGGTGTTAGATCACTGTTCCATAGTTTTGTTTGCAAAGTTAGAAAGAATATGTACTTTATTACACTTTCGTTTGTGCAATGCGTTCTCCTCCCTAAACGTGGGTGGTAAAATTTTGTAATGTAAAGTGTATTAAGAAGAACACTTTATTTTTTCCGCATGATAAATGGAAGGGGAAAAATATAACCACCAAATAAATCTTCCCGCTTTTATCCGAAGATATTTTTTTTAATTTTTCGAAGAGATGACATCCCGCCGATTGTGATATTTGAGGTTAGAAAGAGTCGAAAGGTTAAAGTTTGCGATACATAACTCCATGACAATCACTCACTTGCTTTCTGGAATTCAGTAGTTTCCAAACGAAGTTGGTTGATAAAAAAATATTTTTACACCAATGCTTTTAAACACAATGAATTCACCTTTATTTCATTCCTTTCTAGCTGACTTCTATGTGTTTATGTGATACTACCTACTATTAGTAAGTAGTTTGACTTATATGAAATCATTTACGTGTATTAACATTGGATGATATTGCTGAGAAACTATCACTTTGATTACACATTCTCTGTTCAAGTCATTCATTTACTGCATTTCATTTTCATATCCGTTTATTGAAGAGATATACATCAATAATTGGATTTTGTGAATGGCTATGAGATGACTGCCATCATTTATCGATTAGCAATCTATTTATGCATTCTCTTAAGAATTCCAGAGTATGCACAATAAATCTAGAAATTATCCTTTAAAACAGTAGTTTATGTGATTGTCTATGACGATGTATTGATTTTTATTCGATGCTATGAACTGTGGTTGAGTGGAGAGTAGCCCAAAAAGCACGAATATGAGAATAGGGAATCACTAGGCAATTAATACTTATATTTACTTGTAATTTGATTTACTTGCTAATAGGGTTGGAAGTGGTGCTTTCGAATGCTACACATCATGTGAAGATAAGCTGAAACGAAAGACAAAATAAATTGGAACTACACATGTATATTGTGAGTTACAAAAACGGTCCATTCAACTAGTTAAGTTCAGTAAAATGTATATGATCAACATAAAATGTTGACTATCAATGGAAATATTTACGTAAGTCATTATTTAACATCATAGAAGGAAATACCTAAAATTGTTTTCGTGGTTATACATTCGAAATAATCTTTTCATGTAATACTATGTAATATGCTCTGGAACAGGCATGAAGTTTCTTGGTTTACATCTTGACAAATTCACGTATCGATAGTTCTGAAGGGGTTCCAGACTAGAATGAAATAGCTAATTGATGCTACCTGGTCTTCAGTGTTTCCCAACTTTCAAACTTAAGTCAACCAGTGACATATACTACTATTACTACTAGTACTATTTGTTACTTGGAATATGATTTTTTACCATAAAAGAAAGTATCTAAAATAAACTTTTATCATTATACAATCAAAGTAACCATTTTTTTAAGTAATATAATACCAAATATTATTACTATCGTCCATATTAAGAACAAATATTCATATCGAACTATATTGTTATAATTTAAGTAAAGGCACTTAATAAATAATCAATCAATTCACCAATCAAATGTATAAATCCTTTCTCATTGATTAATGAACTCTATTTGATTGGTCATGTGAACTAACCCATTTCTGGTTGGTTTTTTCTTCATTTTTTTCTTTTTCTTTATTTATTTATCTAATTACATTCATTTTGTCAAATACATATAAAGTGGATTCATATTATAACAAAAACAACAACAACGACAATTATTATTATCATTATTGTATTATCATCGTTGAATGCATCATATAATATGCATAAAATATATCCATGGTTAATATTAATTAGTGCTGCATTATCTGTAATATTTTTAGGTGGTAAACGTAGAGCATTTGGTATATTTATAGCAAAATTACATTCAGAATTTAATCATACAACATTAGTTGAATTAAATTGGATTGGTGATTCATATTCAGCATTAGGTTATTTAACAACATCTATAACAACATCAATTATTTTATATACAAATAAAAAATATGGTATATCACAATTTTTTGGTGCATTCTTTATATTATTAGCATGTATTACTAGTTCATTTGTACCAAATCCACATTGGTTATTTTTAACACATACAATATTACATGGTATTGGTTCATCATTAATATTAAGTACATCAAGTTTAATAGTAAATGATTATTTTTATAAAAATCATCCATATCATATATTAGCTACAACATTAGTATCTGGAGGTTCAGTTGCATCTATATTATTTATTGAATTTTATGCTTATTTAATTGATATATATAATTGGAGATTAACATTTATTATACTTGGTATTCTATATTTTATTATATTATTTATTAGTTCTATTATATTTTGTAAAAAGAATAATAATAATAATCATGTAAAATCTCATATACATAAAACTAACCATTCTAATGATAATCAATGGAATCTATGGAATATATGTTGGAATTTATGTTGGCAACAAAAATTATTACTTTTATTATGGTTAATTGATAGAATAATCACAAGTATTGTTACATATGGTATGTTATTAAATTTAACTGATTATGTTTATCAACATGAAACTTTATTACAAAATAGTATTTTATTAACTAATTTATTTGCATCTGGTGAAGCAACTACTTATATAATTGGTGCTATATTAACTGGTTTAACTAAAAATTTATTAAAAAATCAATTAAAATATATATTAATTATATCAAGTCTATGTATGTCCATTGGATTAATACTATGGGAATATTTTACATGGAATTATATCATGAGTATAATATTATCTTATATGAATGGATTTTTTTTAGGACCATCTATAACATTTTTATATCCTGTAAGTGAAGAAATGACATTATTACCTGGTTATATATCATATACATTATCATTAGGTGGTATGGGTATTGGTATGTTATTATCCCCATTATTATCAGCATTAATTGCGGAAACATTTAAATATCGTTGGTTTTTTTTAATACAAGGTATGATTGTTATCATTAAATCTATTTGTTTAATATGTTCATGGAGATTAATTAAAAATTTAATACAATTTAATAAACATTTATTATATAATAAACAACAACAACATGATTCTGACGATGATAATGATGATGATGATGATGATGAACAAAAACAAAAACGACGACAACCAGAAGAAGAACTAGAAGATCAATCATTAACATTCAATAGTGAAACACAATGTTTAATCAGTCCAATGATACAAAAACAATCTAATTCAAAAATGATTTAATTTATTTCTATTTTTTTCTCATTCTTCTACTAATCTATTTTGTTTTATCTTATTATTTCTTTCTTTTGAAATGTTGTTGTTGGTAATTTGATATCTTGATGAAATATACTACTGATTATCGGTAAGTCATATTGTATATTTACATAGAGATTCTTTTTCTTTAATATAATTATAATAGTTATCATTCAAGTAAAGAAGTGTTCAAGTTACATTCTAATTTGTATAATACATTTATAACTTTAAGTGCCCCCAAATGCTCTGGTATGGCCGAGAGTGGGGTGGGCCTGCCCTCCCTCTCGAAATGCTCTCACATGAAATCATGAACATGTGCTCACTAGTGATTTGCTTCGTGAGGGAATTCTTGGAGTTCTAGTGAGAAGCCGTGACCAGTGGAGTTAATCCTTTTCGAGTAGAAACAGGTATCTACCTCAGTACAATGAATGTTGGTCGCGTAATTTCGTGGACTGCTCGAGGTTAGACATTAACACCGCCGGACACCAGCTCAGTGGTTCAGTAGGTTAAGCGTTCGAGCTCGAGACTGAAGGCCCTGGGTTCGAATTTCGCGAGCGGGATCGTGGATGCGCACTACTGAGGAATCCCACAAAAGGGCGAAACGGCTGTCCAGTGCTTCCAGGTGGAGAAGATTTGTAGCTCAGAGGGATGATTTTGGTAGAGTTTTGTTCAGAAGAACGATGAAAGCTCCTCGACCAAACCATCCAGCTCAGAGAACAAAACTCCACCAAAAGTGCTTCCAGGTTTCCGACGGTGGTCTAACATCAATTGGTTCATAGTCTCAATCAAAAATATATAAATTTAAGTGTTTAATTTATGGATGATCTTTGAGCAACGCTGAAATGAGCTTGAGAATGAACACCTACTGATTAGGACTAAATGCGAGTTGTAAAGCAGTTAGAATTCTCATTTACAGTTGATAGTTAAGTTTAGGAATTAGATTTAGGGTTTTCATCACAAACTTACATCAGCTATAATGTCAAAACTCTATTTAGCAAAATGTATGGATGACTGGTTATCTTGTATCTGATTGGTTCGTCCATAAATGATAGTTTCGCCGTTCTATTCTTATTAAGTGTCAAATATTTGTTATAAGAATATGATAACCAGTTTTTATGTAGAAAACTGTAGAACTGGAAACGTGATCAATATGAATTCTCATAAAAATATAACAGTACTAATGTTTAAACCATTTGGAATAGTTTTTCTATTCCATTTAATACATATACATACTGGTACAACTAGTCACCAAATAAAGTATGCTCCATACCAATAGAGGAGAGAAGGGATGTCATATAAATAACGAATCAAAAGATAAGAAATAGTGATTTATAATGAGAGATATGATTCAGATGAAAATACAACTGAAAAAATGTTTGCAGATCATATAGTTCCTCTTACTCTGATGAGGAATGTAAAAAGAACTTTTGAAAGATCTCGATTGCCTTTTGATTTTAGTCATGTCTGTAAACGTCTCAAATGATTGAGCTTCACCAGTTCTAGGACATTAATCAAGGAGTCGTGATGCGCTGACAGTTGCCCCGATATTATGTCATAAATTAACTATGTCTATAACCAGTTTAAGCGTTGGGAAATAAAGTACGATTTGGAAGACTTTAAGATAACATTTGTAAATCACATCCAAACGATCGAAATCGTTGTACCCGTATTACACAATAGAAGTACAACTAAAGAGTTCATAAACGTCAAAGTCTAATTATTATCAGCAATCAATAATAAACACCACATAATCTATAATTATTTCATGTTTATATTCAATAATAAGTGTAAACTTAAATATTTCAGTGTTTCACTCAATATATCACCCAGAAAACTCACTATTTAATGTTTATGGCTGTGGCTAATCCACAACAAACCGAAGAAATTAGGTTCAATTTTCCCTCTAAATCGTAATCGCCATCATGTACCATTGCCTACACTGTTTGTCGGGCTTCATTTGACGAATAGTTTTCGTCAAACATGTATTTATTCACTAATATGTCACATAAATCATAAACTTGTAATTACTAAATCTATGAACTAATCATTCTGCTACACTACACTGAGTGTTTATTGTTTGATAATGGATTAAAAAATTCTCGTCTGACACTGATATACAAGCCTTGTATACGTGAGACCGAACTGTTACTTGAATGAAAAGACAAAAAGTGAATCTAACCAGTTCAGACAGAATTCGTAACCGGTAGCGTTTAGATGTATTAGGAATAATGTGAATTCAGTCGAAAACCTAAACTATAGAATGACAGCTACATAGTTTAAAACAACGTTATCGTTGAATATTCTGAAGATTCTGAGTTCAATTACTTTCGAGATTATGAATACCTATTACTGTAAATTGTCCAACCATGACGAAACGGCTTTTTTAACTGATTCATATTCAATGGTGATTTTTGTTACTATCAATCTGTGTTGTAATTAATTAAATGGTCAATTTCAATTATCTAACGTTTAATAAAAGTGTATACGTCTAAAACTAGTTCAGCATTGGTAAGAGCTTAACTTTTTGACATTCAATCTCTATGCTAATCTTTAGGTCAACTATAAAGTAATCAAAAAAGGGATTATAAATACAAAACTGTCCAAATGACAAATTAGACATTATTATCCTTCACTGTTTGTCAGGAATAGAAAAATAAAGATTAAATAAATCAGATCTCTCAATTTTATTATCAATGAATAAGTATTGATATAGATCTCAATTCTGTATTATTATGTCACTAACATACATGTGAACTGTAAAATGACAGTAGGGGTGAGCTAAGTGATCAAAATGTTTGATGTTAAACAGCTTTGACATAGTTCTATAATTTTTATCTGCCATATTCATTATAGAAAATAACCTACTTGATGTGTATTTGACTACTTATTTCAATTTTTCCATATTATTGAGGTAAGGGGTTTTTATTCAAACGTTAAGAGAAAGCGTCTCCAACTAGTTGTCACCGATTTTCAATAATCCTTTAATGAATGTCAGTTCATTGTGTTATAAGTTAATTTGAACATGGGTCAACATGTAAAAATCACAAAACTTGACAAAAATTATATACACACCAATAATCGATGTGTTTAAGGTAGTTTATGATTGTTGTTTTCATGAGGGGTTGTAACTGGTAGAGTCCTCTCAAGTGAGTTGTGATGGAATTGAATAATGTATGAAGTGTGGGCTGATGGATTGTAATTGATTGTCCTAAAAGAAGTATGCTTATTATGAAACCTGTATGTATTGAATGTAAACTATTAGATTTTTCTTGTGTCTTTTGAACCAGAGTTACCTAGGCTAACATCTGAGATGTTACTACTAAGCTATTCGTATTAGGAATGACCTGATGGAGGAGATCATGTCACAACGTTGGTCACCATTCAATCAATAGTCAGTCGTGAAAGTACTGGAATAAAATCACTGTCTATTAGTTCTTAGATGAAAATTGTTCTTCTGCTGGTATCAGTTTATGATGAAAACAATATGAGAATGAGATATTATACTCATTTTGCTGTAATCACAATAACCATTTTTACATATTATCATTAATACTACTATTACTAATTGAGTAGTAAACAGTACGCTCTTTAAAAATACACATGCAAAATAAATGTATTTCTATTTGACGTGTTATCATCAGTTAGCTGATATAAATCAATGTACATTGAATAAATGTTGCTTAATTTCCTTCTAACAATATTTGAATAGAATTACAAATTGATATCATTCAGTGACATGATCGAGTATAAACTTGTATAGTAAACTGTGTATCATATTTTTGGTTAATGTTTTCAAGGATAGTGATGAATAGTGGAATGCAATGTTTACTTTTTAGTTTATTTACGTTTCCTTAGTTGATAGATGCATTTGTATTCTAGTGTTGATTTTCTCACTAAGCATCAATCCAAGTACCTAACTGTTCAATCGTAAATGCATCATCTACTAATTAATAATAAATATCAACTTGTTGAACAAATATGACATTTTACACTTATTATTATTATTGGCAATTAACATATTCTCGTTTATTGTAGTGAAATTATTATAATCTAAAAGTTTCAAAAAAGGGAAAATATGTGCCTTGAGTTTCACTGCTTCCCGGTTATTCAACAGCTTTACTGATATTGTAATTAGAAGAATCCAGTTATCATACACAGATGTTGATGAATCATTACACTGCAAAGAAATCCCAAGATTATAGTTGTTCAGGAAAACATAATAAAGTGTTTACATTATATTTCTTTAAAAAATTACACATTTTATATCACATAATGACTAAATACGCAGTAGTATTTCGTTATAAGCAAAGTGGAATATAACGCATTTATGTATCGGTCCATATCACTACATTTCATCGGCAACTTACATACGCCTGTTACTCCTGGTGGAGGACCGTCGGCTGCCGATATTAGTTGAAAGTTGTTTTGAGTTCCATGTGTTATTCAACTGTATGGATGCTGCCGTTGCTTTGCCTGTCGTAGCGTTTACGTCTGCATCTGATCTTCCTTGTCCATCGATGATGCTTTACAGGTAAGTGGAGGATCAGACCAAATTGCGACACTACGGATCATTGTTGAACAATCAGTTGAGTGGAACTCGTCACTGTACATCAACTTCATTGATTATGAAAAGGCGTTTGACAGTGACTGGAAACGATTGCCCAGGACAGGGTTGGATGGTGAGTGCTGGTTAGCGGCCTACAACTATCATGTATATATATACTTGTATAATTTAAAGTAATATATATTTTTTGTTGATTATTAGTCGGTATACTCACCAGATTCGTTATAGGTGAAGTTGAATGAAAATTTCATTGAATAAGTGTGTGAGGTAGAGTGTACAGTAAAAAATTTACATTCAATAGTAAATAGTAAAAATTCATTATATTTACTGACAAGATCTATTGAATTAATAATTATGATGACCATGTCGTGCAATAAGGGATATACAAATTAACTTAATATAATGCTTTGGTTCTTATTAGTCTGGTTTCTTCAAGTCTGCTTTGTTTTTATAGAAAATGAAGAGTTCTGTACCTTTAGATATACTATTCAAAACTTCTTTTACAACTGGAAAAAGGTTTCTATGTACTAACTTAATCAAATGAAATAGAAGAAAACTATTTATAG